TACGGGTAGGGAGGGCTCTTTTTTGTAATTGGGTGGGTGGGTTCCCCCCTTAGTAATGGGGAGGGTGGGCTCTGTTATTGTAATATTTCACATAATATGGTTTTCTATCGGTCCCTGTCCCCATTGTATGATTTCATTTTTTCGGTTTTTCTTTATTATTCTAAATTGGCCCAACGTCGCTTCCCATTCTGTAATAAGTTGGAAGGTCTCCACCCTTCCTTCTTATTGCAGAATCCTACCCCTTATTGTAACATTCCTCACTGTTTCATTATTATTATTGTAGTATGTCCCGTTGCCCCATTTTATTGTTATTTATGTCCCTTGGTTATTTTATTATTGTCCCAGCGGTCCTGGTTGTGAGTGAGGTGGTACGGTGCTGAGAGGATCAAAATTTTCGAATTTCGATGTTTCTGAGTGACAAAATTGGCGATTTTTTCTTCTGACGGGATAGTATTAGCGTCCTAGCGCTTGTGGTGGGTTGTTCAGTGGGGTGCCCCCTACGTTTCGGTCCCTGAGGTAGCGTTCGGAGTGGCGAAGGTCGCTCCTTCTGACGCTTGTTCGGCTCGCATTTGAAGTTTTTTGGATGATATGGCCAATATTGCTATTTTTTGATGATTCAATATGGCCATTGTTGTTATTATTTGATGATTTTGATATCATCATCACTTGGGTAATTATTATTATTCAAGTTAATCTGCTGCTGAGAGTTGGAAAATAATCGTTTTTGCTAGTTACTAATACCTGTTGTGAAGTTTCTGTTATTATTTTCGTGTTACTAATATTCATCAAAGTTCAGTTCCGGTTTCATCGTTATTATTTTATTATTCTGCTATGATATGGACGACTAATCGATATTCTGCTGTTTTCTCCGTTGCTCGTTTCTAATCCACTATAAAATGACCCTTTTCATCAAAAAATACAAAAATACAAAAAAATCAAAAAAATATAAAAATACAAAAAAATCAAAAAAATATAAAAATACAAAAAAAACAAAATAAAAATAAAAATCAAAAAAAAACAAAAAATACAAAAATCCAAAAAAAACGAAAAAATCGAAAAATACAATAGTGATTGTTATGTTAATTAATTGCTCTGTTACTAGTGATGTTTATTGTGTTCAAATGTTATGTTATCAGTTCCTAATATTGTAATCGTTTAGTTTGTATTGTTAACTGTAAATATGTTTTGATCTGTTTATTGTTTGTAAAATGTAATGATATTTCCTTCTCGACGCAGCACTCTTCTGGACGAGTATCGTGGATCGCATATCTTCAAGCGTCCTAATTCATCGTCAGCGAATCAGTAGCAATCGAATATATGGTGATATCAGTGCGTTCGACACTTTCGTATTCGTATCAACGGAAGTTATTGGTTGCGATACTCAGCACTGTTTGTTCCGCCGCAAATTCGCACTGGCATAGGATCGTTGAACTCGTTCACCTGGTAAGGTTATTTCCATCATTGGAATTATTCTTTTTTCTTGAAAGTTCAGAATTTTTGTTTTTGAAAATCAACTTCTCGTTTTCCTCAAATCCATTGTGGGATTTTGTCAGCAACCAGTCAGTTCAGAATGATGTTCTTAATTCCTTGTGAATATTAATGTATTCGTTTGTCATCCACCAAAAATTGTGAGGGATTATCAGCGTTTGGTTGCTCTGTTCTCATGGCAATTTCTTGCAGAGTTTTCTTTTGCCAATGGCGGATGGATAAGATTTTGGAGGATCGACTTTAAAGATCCGTTGAATGAAGTGCGATTTACGCACAAATAGCCTCAGTTACGAGGCAGCCTTATGAAAAATCAAACTCAACTCCTGCATCAGTTTGGTATGGAGATGGTCGACGTTTCATTTACATACAGCTATTCAGCGAAAATGGTAAGGTTTGTAGCAGTATTGGATCTTTTTGAAATGTTTACTTTTCTGCTCACACCGAAATATTTTCTGAATCTTCTTCACTGTTTGTCAAGAAATTTTCAATTTCTGTGTGCAGTTTTACCTATTATTTCATTCGGATTTAAAGTTTTGAAAATGAACACTTTTAGAGCATGTGTGCATGTATAATCAATTGGACATAAAATTCGTACGGAACACTTGTGATCGGCTGAAATTGGCTCTGACGAATCCAGTTTGCATCTTTCGTAATTCCTGTTCTCATGATGCACTGAAGATTATCAACGTTGCGATAAGGATCGTTTATTCAATATCTATGGTAAGGTCTTTTCTATGGTTGTTTCGATCCTCGTTTTTTTTTATTCCGCAATAATTTATGTTGCTTTTATGTGAACAATTGCTTACTAGTTATGTAAGTCGATTTCACTATTATTAAAGTTCACCTTTACAGGCTTAACATATAAGCATGATTGGCATCGCGCTGAAATATCAAGACAAGATGAAATTCTTTGGTGCTTGATGTTTTATTTGTTCTGAAGAGTGGTTGATTGGTGTTGCGGTTATTCTCAAGAGTGAAGGATCGGTGGATTGGTGATAATGACAACTCGTTAAGAATACAGAGTAAGATTAACCATATCCTCATTTTATTATTTTTTCAATTTTTTGAAAAATCATTTTAGTGTGTTGATTACATCTCTTCTTATTGTTGACAGTTGTTCGGTGGAGATTTTGTCTCATTAAAGTAGTGTGTTTCTGCTAAATGAGTGTTTTGGTCACTGCTTGCAGTACACCTGTATTTGTGCAGTGTATTGGGATTAATGAATCATTTAAAATTATCAGCACTATTGATTGATGTTAGAACAGTGCAGAACGCACTGCGGTTTCAGACAGCTTGAAAAGCCAATAAATTAAGAGATGATTTAGGAGCGTTAATACGCGATACCTTAATGTTTCTCATGCACAACTGTTTCTCAGTATTTTGCAAGTATAAAGTATCCTTGAACGTGATAGAACTATGATCCAATACTTCAAAACGACCATTTACAGAGTGATTGATACATGTATGTGCCGTGCTTTTCTGAAGGCGGGTTGGTGAAATACGTGCCTGTGTCGATGAAAGTGCATGTGAAGTACCCGCAGGACTTGTATTGAAAATACGATAGTGGAAATTTGAAGATTAGCTCATCAGTACAATTACATGGTAACAATTATATCTTTGTTTGAATTCTCTTATTGAAGTTTTTTCTTTCATTGAGCAGATATGTTTAAGGTAGTCATCTGCTGTTTCCAACTTATGTCAATCACATACTTATTATGAACAACTGAACGTGCATGGAAATATGTGGTTTATAAAACATGCAGTAAAATATGGCTTACTGCACTTTATGAAAAACTGCTCAACGTCATGTGTAAATTTGTTTTGTTCGATTTTTCTTCCATTCTAAAAGGTATATTTGCAGAGAAGTGGTGCGGAATGATTTGTAATTTGGGTGAATTTTGTAAAAATGGTTTCGAAAGCGTCAAAAGGCGTGTTAGTGATAATTCTATTGGTAATCCGATGCAATTAAGCACGGTTCGGCGTTGAAGTTTACGCTTGTTCAAGTCGAATGAAACGTAAGTTTTGGAACATAGATTTCTTTTGTGATCTTTTTTTTTCAGTTTTGTTCAATCTATTGATTATAAGTTGTTCCTTTCACTGTTATCCGACTGATTGTAACTTCAATCAGTTTTTTCGATCTAAAATTTTGTGTAACTGGAGACTTTATTGAATTACATCTTTATTTGATGGAACGTTGCGAATTCTGGTCTTTTCAGGTTTTGCTTTGTCAAAACGAAGATGTGTTCGACACTTTGGAAGAGGGTTGGAGATGCGGTTCATTCGCGAAGTTCGATCGAGGTGTTGGAGAATGTTGTGATGGTGCAGTGGTTTGCGTCTGGAGTGGACCGGCACTGCGAATCGTCGCTCAAGTGAATTTTTGTATGTTTAATTTTTTTTTTNNNTTTTTTTTCGTTTGTTCGTTATGAATGGAAAGATAAAATTATGCGGATATTTTATTCTTCATTATTGTATTCGTTCATGTTTATTTTTATTAATTCTTATGAAGTTTCACTGCTTTGATAAAATGTTTCGAATTGTTATAGTATGTCATTTTTATTGCCACGAATAATCGCGTTTACTGCGATTTATCTATATTTTTATGATTGTTTTCTTGGTGTGATGAGTTATCCAGCACTCATTATTGGTCCATTAGTATGAGTGCTTAATATTAGTGCTATGTTTGAGAGTGCCTATTGTTTATTCTCTAAAATATCGTTTGATTTGTTACCATGAGGATGATTACTTCTGTGGTGATTGCATAAATCATGATCATTTCTATTGTTACGACTATTATTATAAGTGTTTGGTCGAATTGTATATTCCTCTGATTCATTCCCAAATATTGTTCATTATGAAATCATTGTTATTCTTTTATGAGGATTGTTTTGAGACCTATATTTTTATTTTTTGTGTCGTACTATGCATTTTTTATTTATTTAGTATTGTTTTAGTATCATTAGAATGTGTGCTTTTGAATATGCATATTATAAGAGTTTTGTTATTGTGATGTAACTGTTTGACATCGTTACCGAGGTTGTACTTCACGTTTATGATTGTGATTAATATTACAATTAGTTCATATTTCCGTCACTTAAATGTATAAGTCTCAAAGTAGTTTCGATATCAGCATAGTTCTTCATACTCTTTGTTATAATTAATCATCATTGCTGTATTGATGTGCTCTGTTAGCGTTTATCCCAAGTTATCGCATCTATCCCACTTCTCACATTATATCCATGGGAAGACTCTTGTGAGCAGCTGTTATTCGATTTTCATGAGTTGTGCTGTTTGTGAGCTCGTAATTTGAAACAGTATTGTTTTTCTTGTTTTGAGCCAAATTTATTCATGAAATCATCTTGTCTTATGTCATTCTCATCGCAAATTACCATCGTTTATGATTGGAAGAAGCGTCAACAAATCAGTTCAAAGTGTGTCGAATCAGTTCAGTTGATGTTCTGTTTCTTCGATTTTTTTCTGTCAACCGTTTTGCCAACCCAAAAAGCCGGGCAGTGAGAGAATTCACCATTGGCTTCATCCGGAAGAGTTGAAATGGATTTTCGAATGCGAGGATTAACTGTTTAACGTTGATCGGAAGTTACTGTGGCAGCTGATCGTGGGATGTTTTCATTGTGAAGTGTTCAAAGTCGTGCAAGAATCTGCAGGTGCGACATATGTGATCGGTAATGGTCTTCTTCGTACGGTAGGCAGAATTAGAGATTCTTATTTGCTGAGGGGGAAATTATCATTATGTAAATCCCACCCTTGCCGAAATTATATATCACGCATGATGATGAAAGTAATGACTGTGCTCGTGACATAGTCTGTCTGAGGTGCAGTGATATATGGGGGATATCAGAATGTTATATTCCTTATCAATAAATGAACCGTTGATCTTTTGTTGCTGTTCAGTGAGGTTACATTTGTTTACATTAATGGTTACTATGAAATTTATTATATTGCTCACTCATTTTTATTATGTTAATCTGGCGATGTGAATGTGTGATAATAATACTATCATTTTTGATATTTGTTGAGCTTTTTGACATATTATATTGGCCGATGGTACGTCGAACCTTTTTTCGTTACGGGTGTCGAGCTTGCTGGAGAGAGCTTCTACGTCTGACATGCGAAGGAATTAGGTTTTTCTGTTTCACGTTGGTTACATTTTTGTTTCTATTTTTTAGAGGTNCATAAAGTGAAAATTTCATTTGTGGCCATTTGATAATAATCGAGTCTAATGTCACTTCTGTGCCTGATTGAATTAAACCAATGTATCAATTGATATTATTTGGCATCCTGCAGTTGACTTTCGAATTCAGTGCATTGCAGCGGTGTAAGTTTATGGCCAGAATCTCTGCGTATTTCAGATGTACTTGAAAATTTTTCTTATATTATTATAAGATATGATGGAAATCATAAAAAATCCATCCGTTTTGTGATGTATTATGATGTGGGTAATAGATTTTTAATGATTTTAAAGAATGGAAAATGCAAAGGTGAAGATATATTCCTGAAAGAAGTTATTGAGTTGGTTCGTATTATGCAGTTTTTGTTGCAACACTATGTTATGCTGGAATGGTTTTTGTGTAACGTTCGTGAAACAAGGTCAGCAGTCAAGTTCTTCAATATGAATGAGGTGAGCTATTGTTTTGATTGTAACAATCAATCATGGATATCAGTTCTATCTTTATGATAATACAGTTGTTCTTATGATTTTACAGTAATAATTCGAGCATAATTTTCCTCAGATTGGTTATGATTTCAATTATTTTGAGGAGGTGGCTAAAATTTTGATATTTATGTTAGCTGTTGATTAAATTACTTGAAATTCACTCATTAATGTATGGCACTATGATATGTTCGTACCACATGCATTGTCGATCACTTCCTTCTACTTATTATTTTATGCGCAGCCACCATTTTTTGATGATTGAGCTTATGATTCATCTAATTTTAATGAGCAAGTTTGTTTATTGCATTTAATTTTATCAACAAATCCAACTCATTACGAATTATGAGTTTACGTCTCTCTGCTATCAACAATATCACATTCATCCTTCCTTGTGATGATTGAACTTGTGATTTGTTGGTGTGGAAGAACTTTCTTATCATTAAGTACTTGTTAATTTTTGCCGATTTGATATGAATCTGTCGTTAGTTTAGTAAGTACGATGAAATGATACTTCATTCTGTCAGTTTTAGGTCTTCATTCAATTCTAAGTGGAGTTTCTTCGTTGCTCCTTCGTTGTCGATGTGATTTGGTAACCAGATGGCATTCAATGATCGTGAGCTTATGATCAACAACATTCATCAATCATAAGCGACAGTTACCATACAGTGTCTATCTACAGCCAAGAAATGCGATACGACGGCGCGAGGAACCGCCAGATTAGGAGTTTCAATTTTACTTTACCATTTCCACTAGGGCTCGAATAAATGAGTGATGGTTTTAACGACCTCATATTTTAAATATTTACTCTTATTCGTTGTGAACTTAGGACTCGGAAAATAAAATTCAGTCGTGGTCAGTGGCCACATTTTCTGCATGCTTCATTCACTGATTCACTGTTTTGCTTGTGAAAATTGTAAATTATGTGTTTGTTTATGTTGTTAATTATTTGCTAATCACGATGTGTTCATTTCAACTCGCTAGGAGTTTATGACAATACAGGCACTGATATTGTTTTGTATTATTATATGATATGAGACTTGTTATTATTATTATCATGCAGTAGTGAAATTGATAATGGTGCCACTTAATTGTTGTTTTGTTTTATCGATATTTTGGTGCTACTGTTGTTGTATTCATCCATCCATTGTTGACTGTTTTGTTTTTGATGCTGTCACGCCGCGGATCATGAAAGGAAGCACTGTTCGCGTTCCGGAAGTGGTACAGTCTATGTCCCACACAAACCATTGCGACAAATTCAGCATTATTAGCTGAGGTTGGATTCAGTATTGAGATGGATTAAGCTTACGCCAGTGCTGAGACTGAACCAAATTTCGAAATGTGAATGGTCCGCGGCGGGACAATTGGATAAATGTTTTTGCTGGTGTCGCCACACGATACATCCACATCGGAAAATGGTCACACAATGTGATCAAATCCGATGAATGAATCGATCAACCCCGTTAGAATTACCCTCGTTAAGGAAGGTGGCTCAGTTAACCCTTAGTATCTAAGAAGCTCGAAGACGCTACTCGTGCGCGCATGTCCCGTATCCGACCAAATCGGCATCACTCTCAAACAGTTGCTCTCATACCATATTGCAAAGAAAGGATGATGGCGATGTCCGGCCTGCGCCACCAGCATAATGTGAAGTCTTATGAAATCGCTGGACGAATCGCTGAAGCTGTAGGTAGGCGCATGAATGCCTATAGCACATTCCCGAACCTAGCTCCTCTTATCATCATTTCAACGGATTGGGATCACCCACATATA